CGTGTACGATGACACTACGTCAAAAGATTCAGCTACGTAATGCGTTTGCAAATTGGTGTTACATAGGCGTTCCAGGAAATGATTCGTGTTGGCTAGATGAGACGGAACTTTGACAGTAGCTGATTGACAATTGTCACTTTGACAGTAGCTGATTGCTGACTGCTGACTCACAACATACTAACAATGCCGAGGTTAAGAAGGGAGGAAACTTGGAATCTAGAACGAGTTTTAGCCAAAACTGAGATTCTGCTCCTCGCATACCTACACAACTCAGTAAAAACGCCCCAAAATGCCGAAGGAGTATGATATTCGTAATCAGCACGTCGATTAGCCCTTCTGAGCAAAGTTTGCGAAATCCATGATTTTAGCTTCTTATGTGTACCCAGCGTAAACCCAGAAAATGAGGCTATCGCGCAAGATGACCACGATATTCGTCATCAGCGGCTCGAATAACCCCCTTTTTCCGAACATGAGCAAGATCCATCACATAAACATCTTGGGGTCCGGATAAGCGAATAAGGCCATCAGTTTTTAGAGTTATCCTTACTTCTATCGATTTTATTGATTTTTTTGCAAAGCTTGAGCTACGGGGCTGGGGGTTGGTGAGGAAAGTAGGTGAGCATACTGATTACTAACACAGCGGGAATTGGGAATTGCATGTAGAAGTGGGCACAGAGAAAGGTTGTGCAGGGATAGGAATGAAACGTTTATTGCTTTTGACAGAGCCGGGCGGAGCCGGGTAAGCCAGCAAGTCATATATAAAACTCAAAAATTGTCAGTTTGGAGGCTATGTGCGCTATAAAAACGAGCGCCACTCAACGAATTGAGCTGAAACTTTACACAAATATGTTTTCTACACCTGCGCAGATGAAAAGCCACCTTTTGCGGCGATTTGCTGATTCCTTCTATTGATTTATTGATTTATTCACGTTTTGAGGAGAACAAAGCTTACCAAGTTTAACCAAGGATTTTCACATAGTCGTGTAAGGCCCCGGACAGACTTCACGCGAGTTGATCGTCGCGACTGAATCGCGACGAGACAACTGTTACAACATCAATCCATGCCGATCAACTTGCATTTTGGTTGTGATACTTTTCCAGCCCGAAATTTTTTAATGTGAAATGAAAATGAATGGAAATGTCGGCGATTGAGTCGCGACGATATCGCGTGAAGTCTGTCCGGGGCCTAAGGCGTCGGGCAGAGTTGAGCGATTCGGTCGTCGCGATTCAATCCATACAAGACAAGTGTTACTTGTTCATTGCATGCCGATCTTCTTGCAATTCGGTTGTGATAGTTTTCCAACACGACTAATCGTGACTAATTATTGCAACCGAAATACAAGAAGATAGGCATGCAATGAACTCGTAATCTTCGTCTTGTAGCGATTGAATCGCGACGATCAAATCGCGTGAACTCTGCCCGAGGCCTAAAGGAGAGCGGTGAAGCTCATTACCACTCCAGGCATAATTGCCATAGTGTGAGAATTTGCTCACCCCCCCCCCTTCACCCTTAAACCTGGACCAAGGCGACCCCCTTCACCAAAAGCCGATAAGAAATGCACAGTGAGGTAAGGTTAAGCAAAGGAGATATTTGTACGGGGATCGTTTGTGTATCGGAAAGGAGGAAGAAGATTTATAGGCATTTACGAACATCCAGGAGGAAAAAATAGTAGCTTCTGTAGCTGCACAGCAACGGTATCGAGAAAAGTTCCGTGGTACAATGTTCCCTTTGTTTCATGGAGTAAATAGTTTGTCTAGAGTCCGCTCATAGAAGTACCTAGTGAAAGGTGTACCTAGTAATTTCTGAACACTTATGAGTTTTCACCACAAAAAAAATTCATAAATTTTATAGATGAACAGCTGGTACAAAGATGTGACCATCGGGACCGCCTCGTCTTCCGCTTTCAGGAAATATATAGCATGTCTGAAATCCGTCCAAAAAAGTGCCTGGGTATGTGAAGTTGCACACTAAGCTCTATTAGCGACGGCACCCATACTAGTAACTTCCCAGTAAAGCACTTCCTAGCCTAACAAAATATACTAGGTTGTCCCAAAAGTAAACTCCATTTTCAAATAAGTTGAGCTGTTCTAGTTTTCCTAATAAATTTGAGGTACCATTCGATAGAGCAGAGCAAGCTCTACAAAAAGACCACCAAGGGCCTATCTAATTCGCCATCCAGGTAAAATTTGGACCTAAAAATCAAAAATTTTCAGCTACCCTAAAAATCGCATCTCCTTCCAAAAAATTCCTGTGGACTTCCAACTTCTTCTTTATATGATGGACACATAGTAGTACCCAAAAATGTATTTAGCGGATTTTTCTCGGGGCTCAAAATGGAGAAAAAGAGATGGTACGAAAATGCCAAAATGTCACTTTTTTCGGTTTTTTTAATGCAAAACTTGGTATTTCTCGATTATAAGAGCACATATAGGGGTAAGGTTTTGAATTTGCACTTAGTAAGGCTTGTAGTATACAATGACATATGTGTGAGGGGCTGGGGGCGGAGTTTGCCATTTTTGGGCAATTTTTGTTTCTCGCTTTCTATGCTTGGAAAAAATTCGTCAAAAGCATAATTGAGTACTACTATGTGCCTACTGTATAATGACCAAGCTGGAGATCCGTAGGGCTTTTCCTCGCAAAAATCCAATTTTCAAGTGACAAAATTTTTTCGATTTTCGCTTTACATGGAATGCGAATTAGGTGTGCCCTTAGTGGTCTTTTTGTGGAGCTTGATCTGCTCTATCGAAGATACCTCAGATTTACCAGTAAAGAAAAAACAGCTTGAATCATTTAGAGAAGGAATTTACTTTTGGTAATAGAAACGTTTTCTACTGACTAACATATTAGGTTGTCCCGAAAGTTTTGTCGGTTTTTTTATCGCTTACTAGAACCCACAGAACGCCAATCCATGGACGATCTAGGTATTAATTAATTCATATTTTTATTTTCTTTCTTACAGCTGTGTTTGCTCTTTGATCCACTCTGTCTTTGCGAAGTTATCGCCATGGCTTTTTGAACAGCGCAACAGTATGCCAGAATTTTCCTAAATTTTGAAAAATTTTCTTCTGCTGTGATGAAGAGCGTTAATAACTGTTACGTAGAGCAAATATTTGGCTACATTATGTTATTTTTAGATTACATGAGCCACGTTTATCAAGTCCGTAATAATTATTTATTTAAGAAAAACCGTGGCTTTTTGATTGCGTCTACCGCGTAAAGTTACCGAAAATTTCAAAAAGCTGAATTTTCAAAGCAAATTAAACATGGTTATATTGCATAATTATTGTTTATTAGCAATCAAGTTTTAATTCGCAGAAATTTCAAAAGCTTTCATGTTTTTGCTGCAGTTGCGTGTTTCATGACTTTGCCAAAAATCGAGACCTCCGGAGAAATAATTTTTTGAAGCTAAAAACAGCAGGTTAGGAGAACCTAAAAATACTCTCTTGTAGTCCAAGAACTGTTCTATTTGTGCCATACTTAAGCAACTCCGAAACATTGAAATGAAATTTTTAGAAATTAGCTTAAATTTGAGCACATAAAAATGACGGGTGAAGAATTGTAACAATTATCAAAAGAAGCATACAAGATTGTTGCATGGAAATGTAACCATAAGAAAGAGAAGGAAGAGCTGCATCGAATGCATGTTAGAACTCATTCAGGTGTTTATTGCGCATAGTTTTATAGCGGTTTGAAAAAACCGACAAAACTTTCGGGACAACCTAATATAACAAACTAGGACAAAAGAAACAAGGAAACAAGGAGAAATCACTAGAAATGAGCAGATTCTGTTTCGCAGTTCGTCAATTAGCGTGTATAGTGTGCACTACGCATATTAAATTACCAGTGGCGTACCGAGGCGGGGAAGGGGGCTCGGGCAGGCCCTCTCCCCCCCCCCCCCGAAAATAGGTCGCGAAATTTTTGAAAGTTATTAAAAATAAAAATGTTATAAAAAAAAATAAAAAAAAAATGTTGTAAAAATGCGCAAGCGACTTGTTTTTACTTGTCAACAGTCAGAATAATTTTCAAAAATTTGCTCCCGATACTAGGTCAAGATCAACTGTGGCGTACGATTTCTGTTTGAATGATGTTGCAATTTGCAGCGAATCATTCAAACAGAAATCGTACAAAGTTTCCTACCATTTAGTGCTAATAAAGAAATCTACCTGACTTAGCTCGCCCTTTGCAAAGGACATATACATTCTGAATCAGCTACAAACCCTGATTGCAAATATGCTATTCCTAGTTGCCGAGCACACCATTTCGAAGCGAGTTATTGACTTTTTCGTGAGCAAAACTGGCATAATATTGAACTGAAAGACTGCCTGTAGATAAAAATCTGCAAGAAAAAGGTGCTGAGATCGATACAACACAAATCCAATCTTTCCTCACTAAGAAAAAGCATAACGCAAGTGGATTAGCACTTGGATGATGATGCCGTGATGCCAGTGAGTCGAGGGTATGCCAATTTTGCGCAGGTAAAATCCCAAAACTCGCTTGGGGATGGTGCGCGGCAGTTAGAAATAGCATATTTGGAGTTTATAGCTGATTCAGAATATACAGTGGCGGACTTGTACTGGGGCAAGCGTTTTACCTCGGCGCGTGCTCCGCAGTGATGTCCAGTTCGTGCGGTCAACGAATGGACAATACTTGCAATAACATGGTCGTTGACCGGAAAATTTATGAGCGAAGGAGACCGCCTATACTGCCTCGCGAGGGTTAGATCTGAACACTTCTAGCGATTTGCCAAACCGCGCCGCAACTGAAACTGCGTGAAGTATGCCCGATCCGTGAGATTGTTTTGCTACAAGTAGGCAACTTTAATGACCGCTCTGAAAACTTTTTTTGCACTAAAGGAAAACGGTTGTCCCTTCCCTTCCAATATTTGATAGACGGGTATATAAAATGACACTTTATGAATGCTTACATTTTAGTAGCAATCAGTTCTCAGCCTTCTTCGACACTAACGGTCGCTTTCCTTCGCGTGTACTGACCATCGTGTATGGCAGAAGGCGACTTATATAATCAAGTCAGGTGTCCCATCCTGAGGAGTGACCTCAGTGAAAATCTCCTTTTCCAGGAACAATTACTGACTAGAAGCAGACAAAAAAGTGAGAGAGATACTGTAACACTTTTGGACCTACTGAAGGTGAGACGTACCAGTTAGTAGTCAATGTAATTTACTTGAAGTGTATTGCAGGGATGTCTTATGTGTTGTTATTTGATATGTCCACCTACTCCTGGCTGTATTACTCGTAAGATAGCATTTCATCCACCTGAGAAAGGGCGCACTTATACGGTCTGTCTAGAAGACGGCACAAAAGTGAATAGCGCTTCGAAAGTAAGTTAACAGAATAACTTTGCCGTTGTAAAAGGTTAGATTTTGAGAAAAAGGAGGATTACTTATGCATGAAACGTTCATTTTCACCAGCAAGTATATCCTTAGGCCTCGGGCAGAGTTCACGCGATTTGATCGTCGCGATTCAGTCGCCGCGATTTCCATTCATTTCCATTCTAGATTCAAAAATTTCGGGAAATGCAAGCTGGTGGCATGCCATGAACTCGTAAAAATTGTCTTGTCGCTATTGAATCGCGACGATCAAATCGCGTGAACTCTGCCCGAGGCCTTAGCAGATCGAAACGCTACCAGTCCACGTCTTGGTTTGGAGATGAATTGAAAAACCACTCAGCTCATTGATCTCAGCTCAGATGAACTCTAAAAAACTTATTGTGGGAGATGACTTCATTTCTGAAAAACCTTTTTGTTGGCGGTCATATCGAAAATGAACTTTGGTAGAAGAACTATAATACCCGTTGGACCCCGGACAGACTTCACGCGATTTGATCGTCGCGACTGAATCGCGACGAGACAACTGTTACAGCATCGTTCCGCCGATCAACTTGCATTTCGGTTGTGATACTTTTCCAGCCGAAATTCTTGAACGTGAAATGAAAATGAATGGAAATATCTGCGATTGAGTCGCGACGATCAAATCGCGTGAAGTCTGTCCGGGGCCTTAGACGTCAATGTGGAGTGTTCTCTTTAACCTGGAAAACTCCACCTTTCCATATGCTTCACAATAACGCTAACCATCTGGAGAAGTAAACAAAAATTTTCAAAATACTAGACCTTAAATTCCCTCAACTTGAGAACCTTGAGCCCATATTACGATACTTGATATTTTCAGCTAGTTGGCAAGAAATTCTTCATCAAACCTGCACGTCTGACAAAATGCTCCATTGAAGACTACAATGAAATAACAAGGCGTGTCAAAGTAAATCTCTAAGCAAACTTTTTTTGCATTCGCAAAAATCTGCTATTTAGTGCTTTACCTTGCGAACAGCAAACGGGAATGACATCATAGTGATTAGATGCTCTCCTGAACATGCGGAAAAAGTAGAGCGATTTAGCAGAATGGTTGGTTTGATTGGATACGAAAAAAGTGGAGGCTCCTAAAACTCCCGTAATGCTACAGTAATGCCACCGGCTGCAAGCAGTATCCGCGCTCACAATGTGGCTTTTTTATAGCTAACACTGGTCGGAATTTCTGACCCTTCTCTGACCTTCTCTTTTGATACCAGCAAGAAGACTGTAGCATATTGTGGTGCAGGCCTGTGTCCTAAGCGAAATGGTCAACCTCGAAAGACGCCTTTCAGGTCATCATATTCTCTCAACCAAACGCATCCGATCTCGGAGAGTATCTGCAGCCATTTCATCTGAACATTCCTCTCATGGCTGAACTATTCGAAACTGATGTCTATGCTTTCGATTACTCGGGGTAGGCCACACAACTTTGGCTTTCATGTTCCGATAATGTTGCGATATTTTAGATTTGGCTACTCCACCGGAACTGTCTCAGAAAGAAACATCTACGCTGACCTTCGCGCTGTCTTTGACTATATTCGTAAGACCCGTCCCGAGAAGAAGGTAAAAGCAAGGAAAAGATGATTTTTTCCTGAAAAGAAAAAAGCCTGCGATCTTGCAGATAGTTCTGCTAGGCTATAGCATCGGTACAGCAGCAGTAGCAGATCTAGCGGCCAATAATCCCGATGGTCTAATTGGCGTAGTAATGGTTGCCCCTTTCACTAGCGGACTCCGACTATTTGGACGAAAGCCAGCCGAACCGACCACTAGCAAACTTGATAGATTCACAACGTTAGTTTCCGGTAGAGCTAATAATGTTGATGGTCCTAGCAAGGTTTTAGGTACGATAAAATGCCCAAAGTCAACGTCCCGGTTCTTGTTTGCCATGGAGCTGCTGATGAAGCCATACCCGTGGAGCATGGTTTAGTGATAACCAAGAGGGCACCTCGTGCCGTTACACCCCTGTTCATCCAAGGAGCAGATCACATGTCCGTATTCAATGGAAAATATCTGCAGACATTCAGAAGAATTAGAAAGTAAAGACCAGCACTATTTCCTAAGTTGATGCGTGAATTCTTGCTTAATTCAGATTTATGGATGAAGAAGTTGATAATACTCAAGAATCTCGTAACAGCTCAAATGAATGAAGAGTTTTTGAAATACTGAAAATTTGACCATGATACTCGTAAACATAAAGAATAAATATTAATTGGCAATTTTTTGTAGGGTTACATTTCGTTGGTAAACGAACACTAGCAAAGCAAATGTTTTATTTAGTACAGTTGATAGACAGGCGCATCGAGTGAAGAGTCCATCGCGGTTGGTCTGAAATGGAAAAACCAATAGTTGGCAGTTGATAAGAATTTTTAGATAATCCATTTGAACACTGTGAAATTTAAGTTCAAAGCCTAAAGTTTTCTAATGCCTCAAATACTACCAAAAAAATTTGGATGCGAATCTGTCCGGGTTAAAAAATATAGAACGTTGTTCTCCCTTTCAAACTTTGACTACTAAGCCTCCTTTATTTTGCTGTTTCTAATCATGAACGCAAATAGCTTATATGTATTGATCTTTTTGGAGAATAAAGAGCTACAAATGTTTTTTTCTGTCAAAGGAATGGTCACAGTATCAGCCACCCCTACTCAATTATTCTATTCCTAAAAACTCCCAAATTCTTAGTCAGCTTACGGCCCCAAAATTTTCAGCCATAAAAATAGAAAATTTGGCGGAGTCGATTTGCATTTGGAAAAATGCTGAAAATTGCTGGTTCACAAGTAAGAAGTCTCTTGCAGGACTCTATAAGTAATTTTCTTTAAAGAATCGCGATCAAATTTTGCTGGTTCCTGCTGGTTACTGGGACCATCAAAAGCTTGAAATAAATAGAATAAATAAATAAATATGTAGCTACTTGTCGGAAACTACTTAGGACAAACTCAGTACGTTACATTTCGGAGTTTTTCTATTAGTAAGAGGGTTGACTCACTCATTTGCTCCGAACGAATCACTTCGCTTTCCAACCACTCGAAAAGGTGTGTTAAAAATGCTTGAAATTCCGCCAGTCTGAAAGTTGAAATGCAGGGTGGCTCCAAGTGACATCAAAATAATCATGTTAAATTCTATACACGTTAGGATTTTTTGATGTAGCTTCTTCCAAGCTTACCACAGCAATGACAAAGAATTCACAATCAAAATGAAACAAATTTGAAAGTAGAGAGACTTACCAAAGCTAGATTCCTGCATTCGCTCTGTGCGATCAAAACCGCACAAAGGAAGGCAAAAGCGATCACGAGGCCCGTTCGAGACATTACTAAATTTGAAAACGTTCATTAAATAAAATAAAATGTGAATAGATGTAGATGGAGCGTCTCTAAGTAAGAAATAGGAGCATATACTGTATCAATTTGTTAATATCTGAATCAACGAAATTGTCTGATTCAGAATTTGTTAATCTGAAACGAAAGAAAATTTAAGTAATTTGAACAATGGCAGTTTTCCTCAGGGCGCACTGAGGATGAGAGCGATGAAGAAGCACCATCAGATCTTTTGGTTTTCAAGTGTTCGGCATGGAGAGCTTGTTCGCATTGGGAAAAGTGCTCTTCAGACAATGGAAGCGCATCGATGTGGGCGGAGCACCCATAAAATGTTCTTGGTAAATTGCTGGGCTTCAAATTATGTAGTAGGGGGCTGCTTACGCCTGAGGCCTCTGACAGAGTTCACGCGATTTGATCGTCGCGATTCAATCGCTGCGATTTCTATTCATTTTCATTCTAGATTCCAAAATTTCGGGCTGGATAAGTATCACAACCGAATTGCAAGCTGATCGGCATGCAATGGACTCGTAACAGTTGTCTTGTAGCGATTGAATCGCGACGACCAAATCGCGTGAACTCTATCCGAGGCCTGAAACGGATTCATTCATGAACTTCGCACAGAAATTAACAGACTGGGATTACTGTAACGTATCATTTCTGCAATAAACGTTTTCATCGGCTACTGCTTAATTGCCTCTATACTTCTTGTTTCAAGTATTGATAGGCTAATTCTTAAGGGGTGTGAATCAAAGGGTAAGGTTCGGGGAACCACGCAAAAGCTATTTGTGAGTATTAAGAGGGGTGCGAGATGGCGTAGAATCGCCAAAATTATCCGGCTCCCACATTCGGACGCGGTGGAGGAACCAAAGGCCTGCCACCTGTAGCCGTAGGAGGTATGGAGCGCGAGCGCTGTGTACTTGGAGTGGACATCCATTCGAAACAATCTCTTATAATTCTTATTGGAATTAACTTTTAAAATTACAAAGGACAGATTTGGAATCAGTATTGAAATGCGCATTTGCCAGTAATACACCTACCGGATAGATCTACTCTGTCCCATTACTCGAAATCTATTTTACCAAAATGAGCCTCCAAAATTCACCATTAAAAGCTGAAGAATTTCAAGTTCAATGCTGTGAAAGATTTTAGATGACTTCTTTAGAGAAATTTTTGTATCGGAAGTTGAAAATAGGGAGTAATCAGGAAATAATGTTCACTAATTTGTTGCGTGTGATAAACTAATGAACTTTTTCTAATGTGTACAATCTCGAAAAATGGCAAATCCTTTGAAATCTCTAGTGTTAATTAAAATCAGAATAGGTGTGAAGTCATGAGGCAAACTGTAATTACATCGTGACTCAAGCCTCCAGATTTGTTCGTATACATTTTGTTTGCTTTGATTCATTGGCCAATATAATCCTTTATCTCGAAGAAAAAAGAATGAATTTGAATGAAAACGCAGGTCTTCAACAATTTGTCACCTTCCAAAATTCATAAAACAAAAAGTTTCTATAAGAAAGCTTACTTTTCTTACCATTACAAGTCCATTTTCACTTAATAATACGTTGCGAAAGCCAAACACCTATGGACCCAGTGAATGCACCTTCCAATTTGCATTACTCTGTTTTCAAATTTTTAAAAGCCATCTCCAGGCAAAGTTATGAAGATTTGTTTCTAAGAGATATCTTTGCCAAGTTTTCTTGGACCTTTGACAAAAAAAAAGAAGTTGACATCGTTAAGTCTAGGAATACTGCTGACCTATTGCCATTCTGAAGGATTACCTCTTTTTTATGAATCAACTCTATGCGGAACACTGGAACAGTGTGACCTGCTCAATAAATTTTTTTCTGGGTGCACAGTAGCAGTAAACGTTTTATAGACCCCGTCAAAATGGAAATCTCAACAATCACCAATAAAACTTTACTATCAGGCAAAAAGCAAAGTACGGCAAGGGTTATTCAAAACGACCATTTCAAATAACTTATGTGAAGCTCATAGCTTTTATGCTCAGAAATGAAAACAGAGCGGAAATTTTACAGTTATCGGTCATGGTATTTGTCTAGATATTTCTGCTAGGTTTCGTGCGTTCGCTTATTCTCTGACGTATTAGCAACGAAATCAATTTGCTGACTACTAGATTCAACTTGTCCTGGCAAGAGAAGTGCGAATTTTATCAATTATTAAAAATAATAAGATGTGTATGATGGTTATGAATTCTTTTATTCATAATAGGATGCGGAGGAAGGTGGGAAAAACAATGGAAAAAATACTAGAATCAAATGGCTTAGAGGCTGGAAGTAATGCTGCCTGATCAAGATGAGGTCATGACTTTGCCTTGAGATTTGGTTATGTTGTGAACTCGATTTTACCCAGAGCGGGTTGAGAAAATGAAGAAACAGTGCTCTTCAAATGACGTGGGCACTAAAGTAATCTTATATGCGCACTCTTAAGAAGCCGGTTATTGAAAGTGTTGTGCTATAAATTGCGATTCTTCCATTTTTTACATTATTTAGAATGTGTAAAATTTACGCGAATGTCATTTCTAGCTATAGCAACTTATATTGCTGTAAATACAATACAACCTGGATCATTTTATCAGCTTTTGAATGAGCAGAAATTGAGGATCAAGATAACATTACGAGCTCAATGGTCCTCGCCAGACTTTCAGGGAATAAGCGGGGCAGATAAGCGCGCCAAATTCTCCAATGTCAGAAAAGACAAATTTACAACTACCTGAAATTGCACTAAACTTCTGTTTTGAAAATTCTCAATTCTGATGAGCAGCCAGAAATCTCTCAGTCCCGTAAAGCAAAATTATGCCAACGTGCTAATGGAATCATCCCCATTTTCACTAATGGGTGTTGTAATAATGAGCGTTTGTTTATCGTGTATCCCCCTTATTTGCACTAGTTGGATAGGAGTTGGCCTTGAGGCCCTTAAAACATAATTTGAGCATGATGCGACTTATTAATGAATGAGTGAGTCATCTATTCGTAATCAACCGAATAATTATGCAATAATACGGGGAATAAAAATGTTGTTGCCCAGACAAAACAGACTCATGAAATAATTTTCCGCTATGCATACACTTTTGAGACATTTCCATTGAGAAGATTTAAATGAACTCAAAGAAGTCGGATGAGGACAAAACGAATGTTTTATCAGCTTTTTCTTCCCTTCAGGGCCTCTGAACCTCTCGAGGTTCTCACACTTATAGCTGAATGAGCGGGACAGAGATTTCGGTTGGAAAAACTCAACGCATGCTAAAGAGAGTGCATTTTCGAAGCTTTCTAACATGCATATAAATGAAAACAAGCTAAGAGAGGGTAAGAAAATATATTCGTATAATGTGTAGTTTTTATATCTACTAATTGCAGCACAATTCCTATCAAAGACAAGTTTGATTCTGCTACTAACGTCAACGACTTTCATACGCTTCCAATTAGAAAGAATGAAATCTGATAACTTTGCACTGTTTGGGTTGAACTCATTCGCCAAAGAAGACATTTTTAGAACCGCCTAGAACCGTTGCGCTCAAGAAATCAACGACAAGCATAAGTTTCCATCTAATAATCGCTAGAACAAGATATTGTTTACTCAAATATGACCAACGAAAAATAGAGCAAGATCAAGACCACTGCTGCACAAACTGTGTCCTGGACGGCTCAAAATTCAAAATAATTGCAAAACAGAAAACACGAAAAATTTGAATTTTATGGTCTGCCACGTATATACCAAAAAATAGACGATTTCTATCATGCAACTTCCTTGTTTTGCGAGCAGAAAAGTTACCATTGCTCAACCATTTCAAAGATTATAGTCGTCAATATAGATTCGAAAAAGAAATCCATTTTCTTCTGGTCTATATTGAGATACACATTGGCGCCAATACGATGGAGATGCACAAGTGATTTACCGCTTATAGTAATTCCTTTTACAGTATTGAATATCAAAGTTTATGTTTCAATGCTTCAACGTGACACTTAGAAACTGAAATGCGTTAGCGCCCACTATTTTCATGGGCCAAATTTCCATTCAATGGAAATAATAATTTACATTGGAATTGCGACTTCAGCTCCGTAATTTATAAGTTCGTCTGAGGTTTGCTCCTTCTAGAAATTCGCCAAAAAATCATCTATAATATTTGGAGAACTTTTGAAAATTCTGTGTGTATCAATATTTCAATAAAGAGTTTAGACAAAACCCAAGAAAAACAAAAAAAAAGCTCCAGAAGTTACTTCGCTTGAGTAGTACGCTACTTGAAATTGGCGCTGTGTAGGAGATTGTGCAAATTTTTTGCACAGCTTTTTTCAAAATACTGATGTACAACCCCCAAAACCTGGGGTGGTTAACATGAAAACATCACATCAGTGATGGTATCCAGATTACCGCCACTCCTCATTACTAGTACAATTGATGCGTCGAAAGTCTGAGTTTTTGGAGTTTTGCACACTGAAGAGATGAATACGATCGATCTTTACTAGTTGGTAATCTTAAAATGTACTTAGATTGTGCTGAAAAAGCTTTTTACTAGAATGAGCCAAAGGTGAGATCACAATGACGATGAAAACTTTGTTTTGTCAATTTTCATAGATTTAGAGCATTAAAGAGTTCTGAAAGCTCTAAATGTCAACAAAATGGTTGAACGTGCAAAGAGATTTACCACTGTGAGAGGACTGCACTAACGAAAGCTTCACTTTAGAAGCTGTTTCAGGTTTACGTCACCGAAGATTACTGGGTTTAGGTAATGGAACACTTTCTCTCCATTTTTATCAAACTTCTATGCAGCAGTCATTGCCTTGTCAAGAGAAATGTACAAAGAGATAATCGGTAAAATCATTACCCTTTCATGGCTAATAAAAACTTGAGGCAAAAAAATTATGCAGACTCTTTTTCTCTTTCATCTTTATCCTCATAATCTCAAAAATTCAAAATCCTCTTTGGGGCCATAATTTGCTGTGAGAAATCTAGCTCACATTTTTTAGATACTAGTCTCTT